CAGAAAGACGCTGACTTGTGTCTCATTGACGATGCCAAGGCGCTGACCGTGTGGATCATAACAAACTGTGAAGAAGAACGGGAACCCAGAACACTTCATTGTGCTCGTGAGGAACTTGGGCACGGAGCAAGAGGCAGTTGTGTGAACAGAACATACTGCATGTTGTAAAATCAGGAAAGGTGGGTGTCAGGGTATCCGCTCACAACACTGATTCAATCTGTGTGCTGAACAAATCATCTGGGAAGCTGGCTTGTATGAAGAAGAGTGTGGCATCCGGACTGGAGGAAGGCTTATGAACAACCTGTGATGTGCAACTGACACACCCTTGCTTGCTGAAAGCGAGGAGGGCTTGAAGCCCTTGCTGAGGAAGATCAAGGATTGCAGCCTTCAGTCTGGATTACAACTCAATGTCAAGAAAATCAAAATCCTCACAACTGGACCAATAGGTAATACCATGGTAAATGGAGACCGTTGAAATTGTCAAGGATCCTGTCTTGCTTGGATCCACAATCAATGCTCACGGAGGCAGCAGCAGTCAAGAGATCAAAAGCGGTGTTTTGTTACATAAATCTGCTGCACAAACCTCTTTAGAGTGTTGAAAAGCAAGGGTGTTTGTTACTTTGAGGACTATGATGTGCCTGGCCCAAGCCTCAGATGCATGTGAAAGTTGGACATTGACTAAGGAGACCATAGAAGAATTTATGCATTTGAATTGTGGTGTTGGAGACGAATATTGAAAATACCATGAACTGCTAAAACAGTGGTTCTCAACCGCCCTGAGGCTGCGACCCTTTAATACAGTTCCTCAGGTTGTGGTGATCCCCCCGACTATAAAATTATTTTCTTTCTTTTTTTTATAAATCATTTTATTGGGTCTCATATAACTCTTATCACCATCCATCCAACCATCCATTGTGTCAAGCACATTTGTACCATAAAATTATTTTTGCTGCTACTTTATAACTATAATTTTGCTACTGTTAAGAACCAGGCGACCTCTGTAAAAGGGTTGTTCGACTCCCAATGGGGTCACAGCCCACCCGTTGAGAACCGCCATGCTGAAAGGACAACCCAATCCCTCTTGGAGGCAGTGTGGCCAGAGCGCTCCTTAGAAGCAAGGACGGCAAGACTTCATTGTATTTGTTTGGACCTATTTTCAGGAGAGACCGGTCCCTGGAGAAGGACATCATGCTTGGTAAAGTGAAGGGGCGGCGAAAAAGAGGAAGGCGCTCAGGCAGATGGACTGACACCCTGGCTGCATTGACAGGCTCAGGCACGGGCACAAGTGGGAGGAGGGCAGGGCCAGGCAGTCTTTTGTCTGTTGCGCTTAGGGTCGCGATGGGTTGGGACCCAGTCGATGGCACCTACCAACGACAGCGACAGAAGCCAAATGCTCTTTCAAAGTCACGTCATTGAACTATAATTCAGATGTCACACGATGTATTCATGTAAGCCTGTGTGCCAATGGCTTTCATTGTGTACAACCATCACCAACATCTAATTTCAGAACATTCTCATCACCCCCAAAAGGAACCTGAATTCAACGGAGTTGCAGGGTACATGATCAACACGCAGAAATGTATCATTTTTTAAGGGACCAGCAATGAACCATTTGAGAAGGGAATTAAGAAACTCACTCCATTTGCAATCGCATCTTTGCTGTGGTGGTTGTCTGTCAGTGTGTCGTACTCTGGTGGCGTGTGTGGTGCTGTGATGCAGGAAGCTCTGTCACTGGTATTTCAGATGCCAGCAGGGTCACCCACAGTGAACAAGTTTCTGGAGCTTCCAGACTAAGAACAGCCTGCAGAGAAGGAATCGGCTACATTAACATCTATAAGAAGAAAATCCTATAATAATAATTTGTGCATTACGAAGGGTTCATGAGGAAGCGGGGAGTGGGGAGGGGGGGATGAGGAGCTAATACCAAGGGCTCAAGCAGAAAGCAAATGTTTTGAGAATGATGATGGCAACAAATGTACAAATGTGCTTGACCCAATGGATGGATGGATGGATTGTGATAAGAGTTGTATGAGCCCCCAAAAAAGTGATTTTTAAAAAAAGAATACAATCCTTAGGAGTAAATTAAACTAAGAAGGTAAGCAAGTTGTACCCTGAAAACTATACAACATTACTGAGAGAAATGAAAGAACTGAGTAAATAGAAAAACATTCTATGTTCAAGGATCAAAAGACTTAATATTGCGATGTCAACACTACATAAAGGAATTTGAAGACCCAATGTCACCCCGATCAGAAATCCAGCTGCCTGTTTTTGAAGTCATGGACATGTCTGTCCTCAAATTCATATGGAATTGTCATTTTGAAAATGAAGCCTAGGATTCACAGCTCCCAATTTCACAATGTACAACCAAACGGTTAGGCGCACGCAGTCGAGTTAACTTCAACTCACAGTGCCCGTGTGTACAATAGAGCAAAATACCGCTGCCTGGCCCTGTTCCACCTTCACAGTCGCTGCTGTTTAAGGTCATAGTGTAGCCACTGTGCCCATCCATTTCATTGAAGGTCTGTCTTTACTGACCTCTAAAAAGCTACAGGAATCCAAACAGTGTGGTGCTGGTCTAAGAATGGCCATGTAGACCAAGGGGATGGAAATGAGTCGAGAAAGAGACTCGCATATCGAGGGCTCGGTGGATGTTCAACAAAGGTGCTAAGTCTGCACACTGAGGGAGAGAATCATCTCTTCAATAATATAATTTCAGGAGAAATAGATTGCTATACACAAAAGAAAAGAGCTAGCTTCATACCTCACACCGTACACAAAAATCGACTCCAAACAGATCAATGACCTGAATATAAGAGCTATACATCTTAGAAGAAGACATAAGGATCCTTAAGACCTTAGATTCTTAGATATGAGATTAAAATCACGAACTTCAAGAGACAAATAGGTCATTTAAACGTTGTCTGATTGTTAAACATTCTCCATGTAGTGAGGTCGTGAGCCTCCACTGAGTATGGCTGCACGGGCACCAGACTCTCCTCTCCTCAGGCTCTTCCGGTGGTGCCGGGAGTGGACCTGGAGTGTTCTTAGCACGTCTGCTGGCAGTGAGGCCAAGGCGGGGAGCCAGAGCTCCCTGACCTCCAGGGAACCAAGGAGAGGAAACAGGCCCTCCCTCAGGGGCCTGAAGGGTGCCTGGGGGGCAGGCACCTCTTCCTCCCCTCTGAGGACTCCACAGTATCTTGAGGAGAGAGTGCAAACTCGCCACAAGATGGCCAGCACCCCAGCCGATTTGTCCGGCCTTCTCTGCCTTCCTACTCCCCCATGCTGCCTCTGCCCTACTCGAATCTCTGTCCACCCACTTTCCTGGACACACCATTGGGCTTCATGTGGCTGGACCTTTAAGTCTGCTGTCCCCACCCACTGGCAGGCTGTTCCTGCTCTGGGACACTCGTCTGGAATGCTCCCCATTGGCGCCTCTGGCCGGGGACTTTCTGAGCCCCAGGCCCAGCGGGGCCCCCTCCGTGAAGGCTCTTCTGACCCCTCTGGACAATCAGTGGGAGCCTCCCCCTGCTGAGGGCTGACCCCAGCGCATCATAATATCCATCGACTTGTCTAGATGAGTTCACTGGTGGCCCCCCGATCCCCACAGCAGAGCACAGTGGGCCTCCAGAAAGTATGTGTTGACGATGAAGGAACGATTTCCCTGCTAACCGGCGAGGCCTTCAGGAACTTGCCCAACAGGTGGCTTCTCTTGGTGCACTCTCCACTGTTGCTAATCCCCCAATAGCATCCCTGTCCCTTTGTGGGGGACCAGACTCAGGTGCCAGAGAGATTCTGCAGGAGCGGGGAGGCTCCTGGCCAGGACTGTCCCATAGGCCCAATCTCTCCAAGTCCCACACTGCTCAGTCCCTTGGTTTGGAGCCTTCTGGGAAGGGTGCCCACCTGTGGGAACCCCCCCCCCCATCCTCTGCCCAGAGCTGATGCAGCCCATGCTGGTCCCCAAAGTTGGTCTTTCCCCCTGAGGCTTATTCCTCTAAGCCAAACCTTGCAAACTTCTCTATACCTGCCCCGGGCTTTGAAAGGCCCCCACAACCCATCTCCCCACCCTGAGCAGCAGAGAACTGTGGGATGTTTGTCTCGCTAGCGAAAGCAAGTGTCATAAAGAAACATATACTTGGACAGAAGCCTGCATTTATTTTTTAGGAGCTTTGACTCATCCATCTTTCCCCTCTTAGCCTGCTCTGAAGGGCCCTGGTGGCACACATTGGTCAAGTGCTTGGCAGTTAAGCAAAAGGTCAGCAGTTCAAATCCACCAGCTGCTCTGGCTGCGGAAGATGTGGCAGTCTGTCTCCATAAAGCTTTACAGCCCTGGAAACCCTGCGGGGACAGTTCTACTCTGTCCTACAGGGTCATTACTTAGTTTTTAGACTAACCTGCTTTGAGCTGATAGTTTTTCTTCCTGACAGACTGGAATTTGGATTTCTAATAGCGTCTGCTGTTTGCAAGGTATCCCCAAACATTCGTGCTGAGGAGGTGGAAGCAGCATGGTTGGGAGCCTCCAGAAGCCAACACCAGATGTCGACCCTCAGTGGGTCTCTCTGAGGACGTAGGGCAAGGGCTGGGGCAGAGTCTGATTTAACAGACTCTAGATGGATGCTAGTTACAACAGGAGAGGAGAGGCTGCCTGCCACCCGGAAGACCAGGAAATCCCAGGATGTCCTGGGTGCCCGAGCTCAGGATCCTTAATCAAACAACACAAGCCCTGCGTGCCTTGGTTGTTTGAGTGCAAACAGAAATGCTGTGCTAACTCCCTCTATACCAGCTCCAGCACATAGTAGGTGCTCAGTATGGGCTGCACTCCCTTGGGCTTCCCAGGCTGGCTTAGATGCCAGGACTGGCATGATCTGTGGCCCCCAAAGGCTGCTTCCTCCCCTGGGCTGGCATTCCCACCCACAAGCTGCCACCTTCTCCTGGGAAACTACAGACAGTGGAAGAGAGCCCAAGCCCAAAGCCCAGGCTCCCGGGGGACTTGACACCCAATGCCCATATTGCCCCCCAGCCTCCTCAAAGCAGGTGAGGGGCTGAGGAAGCCCATCCCTGTAACCATGCCAAGGTCCAGGGGAGGGGAGGGCAGCTGGACAGGCCCCGAGGGGCAGCCAGCACTGCCATCCCTCTCTCTCCTCCCCCCAGCCCCGAGGGCCGGCCTCCCCCTGGTCCAGAAGGAGATCTCCCCTCCTGCGGGAACAGAGGTCTGGGGGCTGCACCACCTGAACGTTGGACTGGAAAGTCCCTGTTGCGCTTGCCTCTGCGGGGTGGGGGTGGGGTGGGGGTGCCCTTCCAGTGGCTCATGACTTTCATTGTCGGGTTTTCCCCCAGATGACCAAAGGCATTGTAGGAGGCAGGTGGACAAGGTGGAGGCTGGGGTGCTGCAGGGGCCCCTTCCCCAATCAAGCTTAGGGATGTGCAGGGCCCTCCCACCCTCCAGCCCCCACCCCATCTTTCTGCAGTTCCCAGCCGGGCTTGCTCTCCGAGAGCCGGTACTGGGAGCAGCACGGAGGTGCCGGGGGCAGCGGGCCTGGCCCCTCTGGAGGCTCTCTGGGCACGGGGCGCAGCGCCAGGCCCTGGCTGGGCCGCGCTGCC